ACTAGTCTGTGAACTTAGTATTCTGATAGCTACTTCCATATATTTGGTGGCCTTTGAGAATGTATGGATTTAAAAACATCATTCTAAAGTCTGGTCCATGGACTTCACCAGATGTCCAAAGGGGTCTGCATCACAAAAAAGATGAAGAATGCCAGCTGGCTAGCAATTAAGAGTGCATAGTGTGGTAGATTAGAGCAGGGTAGACAAGGCTTCTTCGGAGGGCCAGGAGAGTTTGTATTGTATCTAGCAGCCAACAGAAAAACCACTGAAGGTCTTGGGACTGACATGGTCAGACTTCTTTCCCCATTTGGGAGATTCTGCGGATTGGGGGGAAAATTGGAGGCAGGAAGACCATTACTAGACAAAGGTTGGTATAGCCAGTTTAGGACCCTTAACTGTCAAAAAGAAAAAAAAATCCCATTAAAAAGTTCTGAGCCAAACAGACATTCCCCCTGCCCACCTCCAGTTTTCTTAAATTTTGCCATTTATAATTGCTTTAATGTACACAGCCATATACGTGGCTTCTCCCCCACTGATGGTGCTAATTGATATATGGTCTCAACCCTACCCATTAATGTTCAAGGGTGCCCATTTGTAGAAGCACTGGCCAAACCCAAACACTTACTGAGTGCCCACTATGGATAGCAAGGCATTTCGAGGGACACAGAGCCACAATCTGTGCCTTCAAGCAGCCTCCCTAGGAACAGAGTTGACGTTTCCCAGCTCATACAGACAGGGCCCCAGCCATGGCTTCATTTGCAGAGTGTCTTAACCAACTGAGCAGGTCCAGACTGGACCAGACCATCCTTCTTGGCCTTGTTTAGTCTGTAAAGATGAAATTCGTTGTGGACGCCTAAATGTCACCACCACGTGGGCTTATATTCAGATATCTGAATAGTTACTCGAAAGGTACCTTTTAGATACAACCAGCTTTTGATTACGTGTGACCTCATTTAAATTATAAGTTGGCCTACTAGCCCCTCTTCTTCATTGCTTTCCCCATGTTCCAAGAATGCGTAGGACATTTTGTTGCTAACCTAGATCGTCTGTAATTAGGAAGGTTTTATTTGTTGGACTTCTTGAGAATAACTGCATGCCCAATAGAGACCGGTGCCATTCTTGGAACATTTTGTTATGAGTCAATGCACATTCCAGGCTGGCCACTTTAAATGAGGATTAAGCTGAACAATGACTTGTGATAATGTGATAATTAAATATAAACAGAATGGAGCAAACCTGCAGTCCAGATTTTTAAAGTATTTATTAAATCTGTTTTCTATCACTGACTAACCCATTCAGGAAATCTGTGTATTAAGTCACTGTTTCTGGGCTCAAGTTTGTCCCCTTGTCATTTAGTCTGAGAAGCTCAAACTTAGAACTTGGGGGCACCTCCATGAATAATGGCAATGACTGCTGGGAGACAAAGTGCCATCTCATTCATTTGGCTGAGAACCCACAAGTCTGTCCAAGAGCACAGTGCTGATCATTTGGGCAAATTTCCGGGATCAGGTGGCCAGCCTCACTGTTGTCTGGTGAGGTCCTCATTGCTCACAGGCAGCTTGGAGAGCGAATGCTCTGAAAGCCAAGTCACTCAAGGAATCACTGATGATGCACTTCAACTGTACCTGGAGGGACATCTTTGGCCTCTGGCTCCTTCTCTATTACAGATTAAGTATCAATCTGTGACTGAAATCTATAACCTAAGAATTAAAATCCAACTTTTTAAATGGAATTTCTTCCTTTCATCACACAAACCCACAATTTCTGCTTTAAGCTGAGGGCAGGGTCAGGAGAGAACTCTTCTCCTTCAACAACCTGGGATCCTTAGAGAGAGGTAACATGCCCTTGGCCATCCTAAGCATACCCATTCTCCTCTCAAAGCCACCAAAATGCTGAGCCGACCTGTCCCAGGTACTGATGAAGAGAGGCAATGGAAGTGTGAAGGACATGAGTTTGGGCAGGGAGAGAGACAGTCAACTCATCCAGGTTCCCCGAGTGTATGGATGCTGGGGACAACGCCCTGTGTCAATCTCGGTGGAAACCGCAGAATAAATTCAACACACAGAACACAACCAAGTACGCACTGACATCAGATCTGTAAGTTTATTTGCTCAAGGTACGACGGCTACATAATGACTCACATTCATGATATTCCATCACTGAGGAAAACTGCTAAGAATGGTCCGTGTGTGAAATAATTCCTTACAGAAACACGGAGTTGAAAAATAATCACTGATTAGACCTTAGAAATAGTTCACTGCATAACATGACAAAAAGCACGAAGGCTCATTCCAAGAACACAGTCACTGTTCTCCTACACTGTGATAGTTAGAATTTCACTGTGACAACGAACACCAGGCATTAAGATGAAGCTAATACTGGTGTTTCTTTTGCTTTGTTTTCCTTTTTAGAAACAAAATAAGATATAATTGCATGTCACTATAGCAACATCCATAACAGATCAATTTGTTACGATCACTATTTGGTAGAGCGAACTTTACCCCCAAAAGAAAAAAATAAATTAAAAAACTTTAAAAAATTTTTTGAAGACTTAATTTTTTTTTGTCATAGGAATACATAACATCTACAGTATAAGTTAATAAATCTCAAGCTACTGTATAGAAATACAACACTAGCATGCACAATATGGTATCGATAGAGTAATGGAGGAGCAGTCATTTCACTGGAGAAACAGTATCATAGGCAAGTGCATTTCTTAAAAAAAGAAAAAAAAAGAAAAAAAAAGGAAGAGGAAGAAAGATCAATGAAGCTGCTTAAGAATCCAATCCCCGCCCCCACTCGTCCCAGCCTCTGTGTGATCATGGTCTGAAGGGTTTGCTAAAAGCAGCCAGAGCCAAAGCTGAAGTTTAAAAAAAAAAAAAAAATAGGTTTTGTAATTCCAGTAAATTACTTCCAAGTTATACAGGTAGGGACAACACTGCTCACGTCTGAACACGAATTTAAATTACTTTAAAGTAAAATAGAACCACACCCCATCTCCCCCTCATCCAATCTCATCCACTCCATGGCATCTATTCAAAGTATCAGCTGGCAGCATCTGCACAAATCCAGGTTTCTCCTATCTGTTCTTTCAGTAGGGGTCATTTAATTCAGACTTTTCCCTCTAGTTCATGGAAATGAATTTCTAAAGGGAGTCACTGTCAGGGAGACTGTGTGGTGTTACATAGAGAATACATTTATTCTGCGTTAGAAGAATGATTTCTTCTGACTTCACTGGCATTTGGGTCCAGTTTTCATGATTATAAAGTCAATTTTGGTATAAAAATTTAGCAGAAACATTTCTGTCAGTCATTTTGTCATTCAATCAATTACTTATTCCTGCTTAAATGAGAGGACAAAAGCCAAAATATCTGTGACCATAAGACTTTAGACACATTATAGCAGTTTTTACCAAAAAAAAAAAAAATAACTGAACATAACATGTAAGCAACACTGATACATCATGTTTCTAGATTGGCCTCTCCAAAAGAAGAAGGGATTCAAGGCTTACTGGAAACCAACTGGTGGCAAGAGCCCTGCATCTTCCTTCTATCCCAATCAAGGAAAGCTCCATCTCCAGCATTCAGCACAGTGCCTGGCACACAGCAGGTGCTCAATCAATGCTTGGTGACTGACTAAATAAATTAGAAGGGAATGGCAGTCAACCTCCAATTTCCTATGCTTTAATTTTTTAAAAGCTGGAAAAGTCAAAAGAAAAGAAGCCTTTAAGTCAAATAAAAGCAAGTATTATCTGGTCATGATCTGGGTCCAATTTATTTTCTCCCTGCCTAAATAAAAGAACTCGGGTGGGGATGAAGGGAAGAAGTTTCTCTTTTTTCAATGAGGAAGAGAAAGAAAGAATAGGCAGTTCCAGGGCTCCCTAAATTTTATAGGGCCGTGTTCATGTGAACCTCCTCTTCCTCGCTCTTCCATCGTGGATTTCTCTACCAAATGGGCTTCGAGCACCTGACGTTTCCCTCACTCTACCTACCCCAGCCTCTTCCAGTGGCCACCAAGCCTCCACATAATCCAACAGGTGACCGAATGCCACGGGACAAAGGTACAGTGGGAGAGAGTCAAGTGAAAGGGGACTGGCAGTGGAATCCCTGAGGAGGAAGCTGTGGTGTCATCTCGGAAAACACCAACACAGCACGTGACGTACAGACCTGAATTTTCTCTACTTTTTTTTTTTGTGGTGTTTAATCCCTCTCCCCAAACTACTTCTATTAAAGTGTTTTAACTATTTTTGGTGGAGTAAATAGCGGAAAATAAAAAAAAGAACAAAATTCCATCACCACTTGCCAAGCACCTGTTATTTACCCACGAGCCCCAAGACAGGGCATCTCTGCTACTCCTTGGGCGAGCCCTCGGGCCCACGCGGTGGAAAGCAGGACCGGGGAAGAAAAAAACACCAAACACCCAGGCAAATGAGGAGACACGAGAGATGGCTTGATGTCACGTATGGCTGTCATGTAGAATACTGTAAACTGTAACTTAGTGTCAACACTGCAAAGCTAATGGGCGTCTCGGAAGAGTTAACGTGGCCTAAGTCTTAAGGCTAAACGAGCCGCCATACTGAGGGGATTGAAGTGATGCCAGGACGGGTAGCGTGCACCACGGAAGATACACCACTACGACACAGGAACTATACACAGCACCCACAACTCAAGACATGAGCACATGAACATTAAAAAGCAAAAAAACAAAAACCAGAATTCTTACTGGAACCACAGAACTTATTCAAATGAGGGCCAATCCATTCAAGTTGTTTTTTCGTCTTAAACCCTATCACTAGCAATAAGTTAAATCAAAGACAGCTCCACTCGGATTAATCTACAGAACAGTCCATATGCCAGCGTGAAGCTGCCACTCCATACCAGCACAGCCAGCCCGACTTTCCACTAGTGGTATTTTGGCAAAAATGTCAAAGAGGCAATCAAAGATAGGCCGTGGGTTCCTCCCTGGGAAGGTCACCCCCTCCCTTCCCCTCCCCCGCCCGACCCCCCCAACTTGTGGGAAAAAAATAAAGACTGCAGTAGTAGCATCAGCGTGCGGCTGCCAGTCCACCCGGGGTCTTAATTGTTGCCTTCTCCGCCGTCGTCGTCTTGCTGGTCACTGGTCCAGAGCGTTAGGTTGTCCCGGAGGAGCTGCATGATGAGAGTTGAGTCCTTGTAGGAATCCTCATTGAGGGTGTCCAGCTCAGCGATGGCGTCATCAAAGGCGGTCTTGGCCAGGTGGCAGGCCTGTTCTGGAGCATTCTGGATCTCGTAGTAGAAAACGGAGTAGTTGAGAGCCAGGCCCAGCCTGATGGGGTGAGTGGGCTGCATGTGCTCCTTGCTGATCTCATGGGCTTCGCTATAGGCCTTCTCTGAGGACTCCACCACCGTCGCCCTCTTCTCTCCTGTGGCCACTTCAGCCAGGTAGCGGTAATAGTCCCCCTTCATCTTCAGGTAGAAGACTTTACTCTCATACTGAGTCTCGCTGCAGTTCTTGATCAAGTAGTTGTCCAGCAGGCTTAAGACGTCCTGGCAGACCGCCTCCAGTTCCTTCTCTATCTTCTCGCGGTAGGCGCGCACCATCTCTATCTTCTTCTCATTGCCATCGGCAGATGTCTTCTGCTCGATGCTGCTGATGACCCGCCAGGAGGAGCGCCGAGCCCCCACCACATTCTTGTACGCCACAGAGAGGAGGTTTCTTTCTTCGTTGGACAGCGGCTCATTCAGTTCTGTCACCTGTGTTCAGAAAGACAAAAAAGACATGACAGCAAAGGTGACATTAGTAGGGCTTCCAGCCATTTTTAAGTTGTTGTTCAAATTCAAGTAAGACAGCCATTTAACAGAGAGAATCTGCACAGAGGAACAAAGGGAAAGGAGGAAGAGAGGGGTGAGACGCATGAAAACGGGCACAGAACCTCAAAATACCCCATCACCGGAATCCACTGTCAAAATCTGGCACTTTTAACAAGAGGCCTGAATCAAGTAGGCTCTCTGGAGCTCTCATCATTTCCATCTTTGGATGCTGGATCAGAAGTCTAATGCTGATTAAAAATCCAGCCTTCTTCCCATGGGGGAGTGGGGGTAGGGGTGGGGGAGAAATGACACTTTCACCCAGGTAAAGCTCCAAAGAGCAACACATGCAAAAACTGAATTCTGGGGCCAAGATGATGAAGCAAATTTAGATCCAAATTAAGTTTACAGTTCCCTCAAGTCATCTTCTATCTCTCCATAGTGACATTTTAATATTCCAAAAAGTGAGTTAATCACATACACACACCCTACCTAGTACTCAACATGAAGCTGGCTTGGCTCTCTGGCCTCATTCAATAATCGAAGCGCTTTATTACACCACACCAGGTTTTACTAGCACCTAATAACCCCCACACCACTGTTTTATTCTGAATCAGAACCAAGCTGTTTTTTTTCCTTTACGCTGTCATCCAGTTTACAAAATTTTGTGAATAAGTTTTGATAACATCACCTAACATTTACGTAGCACAAAGTTTTCTGTTTTGGGCTACCTTCCTTCAGAATAATGCACAAACTCTTCTGCTATGTGGGTAGAAGCTCCAAAAAACAATGTGGCCACACCCTTCAGAGTCAATCTTACTGCCCACCATTCCCCAGGCTAACTACTTGGAACCTCATCTTCATAGGTACCTCTTTTTACCCTGAGCCTGTGGCCACACTTTAGGGGGAGGAGGACATGTGTGGAATATTGCCCCCAAATGGCATATCCCTGAATGACAACAGCTGAAATGTCTAACCATGTCACCCTCATCACACCTGTGTGAGGCAGGCAGGCATCTCTAGATGAAGACAAAGCACAGAAGAGCTGGTGGCCTATGCAAAGGCACAAAGTCAACAAGAGCAGAATCTGAGTCCTCTGCCCTCAGGCCGTGCTCCTTCCATTATGCAACCCTACCTTAAAATCCAAGTTCTGCCAATCCATCTTAAACTAACTTCTGGTATATCAAAAGCCATTAATTTGCTAGAAATTATGGAAACAGAACATCAAACTAGTTATAATTCTTTAAGATGACAAATCCAAGCTTGGAAAACTATGTTTGCTAAGATCTCATTACAGTCACTACTTTAAACTACATGCTATCTTACAGATATAAGTAAAAATTAGATTAGAAAAGGACCTGGTCCCCCTCTCATCTTATAGAAGGGAAACCCAAAGCCCAGGAGTTCAACGATTTGACCAAGCCCACATAGTATAGTGCTAAAAAAAAACCCTATATTCGAACCCAGCTCCTGTGACCCCAAAGCCCAGTTACTTTTCATTATACCCGGTTTGCTTCATGGCCTTGATTGCCCATTCCAGCATTAAGGAAGCTTTGGTGCTATCATCAGACACGATTCAAGTCATGTGAATAAGAACACGTATTAAGGATTCTCTTCCTTGACACGATTTAAGGGACAGAGCAACACCAGGACGCAAAGATGGATGGGGCTGCTTGTTTCAGGCTGAATCTCCCACCACCACGGAGAACGCCCATACCTCCCACGTGTGGGGAAATCCTCAGAATGTCAAACTCCCTTCCCCCCCTTTGCCACCATCCCACTACCCCCAGGCCACACCTGGACAAACCAAAGCTAGATCAGGATAGTTCTCTCAGAGCGTTAGAAAGCACAGAACAGTGTTTGCTTTTTCTCCCTCCCATCCAGCAGTCAGTCTTGCCACTTCATTGTGCAAACCTGCTCCTGTCTTCCTTCTGACTCCTATCTCTGGACAGCCTCCTAGGCTCTCCACCTTCCGATTTGGCCGAGTATCCCAAAATTAAACTGCCTTCAATATCTTTGCTATGTTGCTCCCCTGTTCAAATCCCTTTAATGACTATTGCCTTCAAAGTAACATCCCTTGGGGCAGCTAGGTGGTGCAGTGGATAGAGCGCAGGCCCTGAAATCAGGAGGACCTGAGTTCAAATTCCGCCCCAGACCAAACACTTGACACTTACTAGCTGTGTGACCCTGGGCAAGTCACTTAACCCCAACTGCCTAAAAAAAAAAAAAAAAACCAAAAAACAAATAACACCCCAACTCTTCAGTTTGTGACTGAAGAGTCTGTGAAGATCACCTGGTCCCACCCTACCAATTCACCCCGATCTCCACTGGCTATCCAACTTGAATCCTCTGGGACGCAATGTTTATACAGTCCCATTCCTACCACTAAGAAGACCTCTGCCATATTTGGGGATGGGGAAGGGAGGGGAGGGGAGGGGCAGAAGGCAATGAGAGTTAACAGCCAATCCATGAAAATGGCATTATTCATGACTGACAGATGAAATTTACTAGTAAAGCAACCCTCTGTTAAACACCACTGTTTAACAATTTTGTTAAACAAGAATAAACAAGTTTATTCAGGCACAAAATATTGCTTAAACTCATACTCAAAGTTGCTTTTAATTTGACAAATTTACTGCAGTATATTCCTAACACTCACGAATGCATTACTTGATCATTTACTATGTAGGTCTGGACAGCACACAGATCACTAAGCACAGCACTCTTGGCTATAATGCAATATCTCTTTCACTGCAACATGAACCTTGGGTGCTCAAGACTACTGAGATGAAGTTCTGGCCCTTTCCCTAAATCATGCTGCCCTTATTTGAAGGGCCAGAAACTATTTAAAGCCCCAATTGCCTCACCACTATATATCATAAGGCCTTCACCAAATAAGGATGTGTTCAGCGGCAGTCAAAAGTGAGCAATCTGTGCTTACAGAAAGAAGTGTGTTTTACTAACTCTGAAGCCTTAAATTGGAACATAACAATGTTATGAAATAGTATTATTACCTTTAGATCTAGTAACTCAGTCACATTTGGAAAATCCACAGAGATTTCTCTGCCAATACAAGTCCAGACACAAGATCCTTTAATGTCTAAAAACTGAACTGTGTCATTTAGCCCTTAAAAAACAAGAGACCTAACAGCTATTAATTTAGGGTGGGATAGTCACCTGAATGGAGGGTACAAAATGTATCTTTTTTGGGGGGGGGAACGACATATTTATGTTTCAAAATGGAATCAACAGAATCAGTTTTAATATAAATAAAGTCAATACAACTTTTGGGTGTATTGCAACAATTCATCAGTGCCTGGGAGTTTAGCAAGAAATGTAAAAAAGTACAAGGTTTTATTCCCCAGGGCTTTCCTGCTAAAAAAAGATTCTAGTTCAAGAATTCACTCAATTGGCTCCAATTCTGAGATACACATGATCCTAGTTCAAATTCAAATTGCACTTAGTGGGTCAAAGGTGCCAAAGAAACAGGGCTGTGAGGAAAGAAGAAGCCCTATCTATTACCACATTGACAATTGAGTAATAAACTGCTCTACCATAATCACACGTGCGCGTGGAAATGGGCAGCAAAGAGAGCAGCTAGGTGGCGCAGTGGATAGAGCACCGGCCCTGAAGTCGGAGGACCTGCGTTCGAATCCGGCCTCAGACTATCTGTGTGACCCTGGGCAAGTCACTTAACCCCAACTGCCTAAAAAAAGAAATAGGCAGCCAAGGTAACTATGTCTTGCTAAGAGCTACCTATTCAAAGAACTTTTGCTGTTTCTGGAAAACACTTTCATTGGCTTTCTCATTTTGTGTTTCAGCCATGTACAGAATACATTATTCCTAAACTTTCCAACTCCTCAGCTGCCAGAGGCTGCATGCATCAAGATTTCTCTTCCCAAGCAGGAGACGCTGCACGCCTAGGAGAAGGGACAAGTAGACTCGTGAGATGCAGAGGCCCCTCTAGCCCATACAGGGCTGGATGCAACAGAGATCCCATGCCCAACAAATATACATCGAGCACTGAATTCTGCTTGGACAGCTCCCAGGCCAAAGGCCAGAGCAAACCCGCCTGCTTCTGAGGAGGCACCTTCAACGTGTGAAAGCTTGTTCTACAGACGGAGCTGAAAACTATCTGTGCAACTCCCACTCACGGTCCCTACTATTGTCCTCTGCTGCCATGCAGGACCTCTATTCTGCCTTACCTAGAGGGCAGTGGCCCTTTAAATATTGGAAGGCAGCTCTTAAGTCTTTCCTAAGCTAACTCACCCCGAGTTGGGTCCTTGAACCAGTCTTTATAAAACATGACTTGTACAGAATTCCCTTATCAAACGCCCTCCAACAAGAGGACAGACTAGAGCAGAGCACTCCAGAGGACTGAGGAGCTAGAACAGCACTAGCTAAAACGATGAATTAGCTTTCAGGGGATGCTATGTCACACTGTTGAGTCATACTGGGCTTGCTGATTAACACCCCTCCAGTCCTCCCCCCATCTGAATAGGCCAGCCACGCCATCTCTCCTAGACTCAGCAACTGATTTTTTTGAACCCAGGCTATCTGGTCATAGCAATTAAGAGCTGAGAACTAAGTTGCAAGAGATTCTACATAGTCTCCTATGAAACTACGTTTCATATTATTGGTTTAAAATTCTGCACTTGTGGTGTTTTAAAGTCACACATTTGAGTTTGTTATCATTGGCACAGACTGGCATGACAGAAATGAACATGGGTCACTGCTGACATGTGCCAAACGGTTATGTATACTCAGCATCTTTGTAGACAGAGAGTAAAGCGAACCTTTTGGAAACTTAGTAATTTGTTCTGTGTGTATTAATTCTAAAGTCGTGCTTTGCAGACCTAAGTAAAGAACAATTCAACAAAGATTTATTTAAGGGCCCACTAGGTGCCAAACCCTAAGTACTAAGGAGATCAAAAGAAATAGAAACA